TAACTCCCGGAAACCTCCTTCCCTAGCCCCCGGTCTCCCGCCCCCTATCCGCCTCCCTCCTTGAACTCGATGGTCAGGTGGTTGCGCCCCTCCCTTTCCGCACCTCACCCACTCCATTATCATTTGCGAACCCCTTCCCCACCATGCGATGTTCTACCTTCATTCCTTTATTGGACCATATCATTTCCGAACTGGAATCTAGGTTTAGACATATGGCTACTAAAGCTATACGGGCTGTTCATCTGCTTCCACAGTTTCTGGACTCACTGACGAACGACGATGTGGAACAGGTCAAGGAGTACTTTGGAAACGATTTGCCAGATAAACACACGTTTGACCAAGAAATACGTCTGTGGAAGAGGAAATGGAGCGAGAGCCTGACAGCGACACGACCATCCACGCTTCATGATGCACTGGAAACTACGAACAAGCACATGTACCCAAATATTCACACCACTTTCAGTATCTTGCTCGTAATGCCAGTGTCCAGTGCTACTGTTGAGCGAGGAAACTCTGCCTTGAAATACATCAAGACGTCGCTCAGGAGCAGCATAGGACAGAGCAGATTGTCGAACTTAACACTGATGTTCGTTCACAAAGACATACCACTATGTTACTAGCAGATTGTGAAACTATTATTCAAGAAGTTCCCGAGACGAATGACAAGCGGCAATATGTTTTATGATAGAGTGACATATTTGCGCTTATGAGTGGGTTTGGGTGCATATGGACTTTGTATGGTTATATTATTGATTGTATCAAAAGTAGGGTGATCATATTAATAGTATATGCTGTACTCTTGTGTTACTGTATATATGTTATGTTTTTGAACCGATGAACCGTAAGCCTCAAGTTAATTTTAAAAGTACTTGAACTTGAAGACAACTGCTTTAATTTTGAGACTCTCCTTAATGTTGATTTGCATTTCTCAAACCTCTGTTAAAGTTATGGTATTATCACACTTATTTTTGTACGAATTTCCACTTCAGTATTACTATAATAATGTACCAGTTTCATAAGAACTAAAAAAAAAAACGAAATCGAGTTTCTTTTGATGTCTCGTTTTTCAACGGTTTCCAAAGTCGTGAAATGCTTTCAAAAACGAAAACTGTTCAACCAACAGTTTTTTGTAATAACCAATAGATATAGCGATTTTCAATAACGAAAATGAATCCATTTTTATAGAGGTAAATTAAAGTAGATTAGAAGTGCATTCAGCCATAATATAAAAAGGAATTACGCAACTGTGTGGTAGTCATGAATGTACGGAAGTGTGCCAAGATGCTTAAAAAACATCACATCAAAACTAAAAAAAAGAGACTTTACAGGGTAATATACACCAATCTGAGGCCAGATAATTTGTTGATTTTATGATGGAAAAGTGCTGAAATGCAACCTCCGGCCATCTACATATTCAAAAAAATTCAGGGGAGACCCCCCGTACCCCTCTTACGAGAGGGGGGCATCCATGCCCCCTCTCTTGCTCTCCCCCCGGCTCCGGCCTATACGGCCCTCGTTGGGCGGCCTGCGGCGGTATACCACGCTGCGCTCGGCAAGCACACTTACTGGGCGCGCGCCCCCCCCCCCCCCCCCGTTCAAAAATTCCTGTATCCGCCCCTGCTGATCAACAAGGGTTCGTTACAAATGTCTGAAATAACATATTATATAGACCTACTGACATATATGGCACAGACCTACTGATATGAGTCACAGCACACATAAACATTTCAGACATTTGTAACGAACCTGTGCTCCGTCGCAAGATCACTCAAATCAAACGCTATCTTTCGCGCGTCTCGCATCCACCATTCCTCAGTTTCTGACGACATGTCAAATAACGAGGATGTTATAGAATCTACCGACTGTTGTCAGGTTCCCATACAATCAACAAATACATTCACGCATGGATTCTTCAAAAAATTAGCAAAGAGAAAAGTTCGAATTAACTTCCAAAAATAACTCCCTCGTGGAGGGCAAGGTCGGATTTACGGTGTTCACTGTATTTGTCCATGCGCGAAATTTGTTCCGGGGAAAAATCGAAACAATTTCAAATCTAACTTTCAGCTCAGAGTTCTATTGATAAACTTAAATCACCCTATAGACATATCATACGCAATTGTATTGATACTGAATTGTGGAATAAAATTGAAGTGTTTGTTAAAATTTCAAAGTACTACTTTGTTTGCCAATCAGCACGCGACAATACGCTGTTCAAACTATTGAACGAAATTGTGTGGACTGTCGATAAGGCGGGCATTTTTAATTTCAAATATAAATTATAAGTTAAAAAAGAACATAAGAGGCAGAGAAAACGTAAATATAAGTATTGAACTGTTTTTGTATGGTATTTATGATCTATTTGAATGACACAGCTTTGCAAGCAAACAAAACATAATGCGCGCTAGTTCAATGCTTAATTAATACAAAATCCATGGTGAACAATATATCGGTTCCCATATGTCACACTATGATATTTGGAAACGAATGACAATGGTTTTGCTTCTGACGTTAGCAATCGTGACGGCCGACAAATAATGACAACATTGAGGAGCTGTTTGAGTGTATAGACAAGCCGTAGTTTTTTTGAAACCTCTGTCTTTCGTTACGGTTTTCCAAAAGCGAAATGCATTAAGCCTTTTCCTAGTCCAGTTCTGCTACACAAATAAACCGCGTCTGCATAACATGTTTGCACATAATTCGATTTATTGTTATTTTATTCATTTTTGCATAGTTTCGGTATGATTAAAAAAGAAGATATAATATACGATATGTAATACTAATTTAACTTTGCTTTTAGTGTATCGTATTTATTTCAAATGCTTAGGTTGTTCATGAACCATGTAAGGATCAATTCGTATCCCCAATGTGGCCCCTTAAGGCAATCACAAGACCAGCGTGACCTAACCTTAAAACACCCACTAGATACCAGTTTCATTTTACTGCGTGCACTGCAATTTCTGACTGGAAGGAAGAAATAACACAATCAATCGAGGTAAGAATATTTAAGCGCTTAAATGCATGATAATGGCCTACATTGCATGATAATGATGGATTAAATAAACTCCTGACTACGCAGACGGTTTGCCTGGCTTATATCGTGTATAGATAAAGGTTAAAATATATCACCGTGTTGTCGTTTCATGAACATAACACAAATGCTGTTCAAATCCTTGTATGGAGTTTTCTGAGCATAATTTGTAAGGAATTGATTAATGTTCATAATATAGCTACCTCCCTTAGAATGCTATCAGTAAATTCAAGCGTTCGGGTTGACACAGTTAACTGTAATAGTACATATGTAAGTCAATCACCGGGATGTCGTTTCTTTAATAATAGTTACCTCCCTTTAGTCGTTGTGTCCCTTTGCTTAACCGCAATTATATCAAAGCGGAGACATAGCTAAATTCAGAATGGCTTTAATACACACAAGGTAAACAATATTCACATAATTGCTATGAACAAATAAAAAACAATTAAACCATGTTATACAATGTTGTAGAAATAATCTCCCACACACTATGTGAAAAGCACATTATACATACATGGTATTAATTTTGTAAAACAAAATACAAGTAGTAAGCAAGCCAGTTAATAAACCTTCAGCACCTTAGTAACTGAGCTCAGTTCTGCCGTAGCACCAGCATTACTGAGAAATAAGTCTTCTTCAATAGCTCCTAATGCAACCGGAAGTGGAGTGGACAGAATTAAGAAGCACCTCAAGAAGCGACTGACGCTTACAACGGTGTCACAATCAGTGAACCAATGAACCAATGGAAGCGTACCCTTGTGTATTCAAAACGAGAACGCGTAGCAAAAAATTACTGAGAACTAGCATATTGAAAATACGAAAATAACTTGCAAAAATAAACTAAGGCAAGGAGCCGAACTCGAATCTATCTAAAACTAAATTTACATGTACATGCACATTTCCTCTCAACACTACGGTACACTCCCTAACAATTTCTGCTCAGAAAACTCCATACAAGGATCATTACGCTAAGTTTAAACATTATCCAAACGTATGGACAAAAGATCCTCGCTCTTTAACTCCCTACATCCACACACTAAAACACGGCACCTGGGTCGGATTCTGGTTACATTTTATTCAAAACCAAAATTCTGATTGCATGCGTTTCCCAACACCGAAAAGAACTTTGATTGATTGGATCGCGAAGTCTTACAGTGACACAGATAATGCCCAAAGACAACGTGTTTTACAGTGGTTTTATGAAGAATCAAATTACATTTTTTGTGTTGAAGTTAGTATTATACAATTGGCTTTTGATTCAGATCCGGGGTGGTCCATACAACATGGCGTACGTGATTAAGAAGACAAAATCTGGCATAGTGCTGCCATACCTACCTGCTGAGGGACAACTCAAGGACGGACGCAAGGTCATACTGGAGTACTACAAGGACGAAGACGAAGCACAGGTTCATGCCATTATGAAGTATATCGTCAATGAGGAGGGCGATTGCTTTCCTTCGGAAGACCTAAGTAATGTTGAGGACTTCCGAGCTTATTATCCGTTATTTGACCTCTTTGTTTGTCGTGACGTCACTTCCGGTGAGGTAATAGGAAGCTTATACGTGAAGCCTACTTTCCCGGGACGATCTTCACACATTTGTAACGCTGGTTTTGCAGTTAAGAAATCATTTCGAGGAAAAGGTATGGGGAGGTTCCTGGCTGGACACTATCTTCAAATTGCGCGTGATCTTGGTTTCCAAGCATCTTTGTTCCGTCTAGTGTTTGCGTCCAACGAAGCTTCTGTAAATTTGTGGCGAAGCATGGGTTTCATAGAGACTGGGCGCATCCCTAACGCGGGATACCTCAGGGGGCGTGGCCTTACTGATGCTTTACAGTTTTATTATGATTTAACCAAAATAGAAAAGAAAGTTTAATCAAATCACCTGAACGACATGTTTATAGTTGATGAACAAATATATTATTAATTTACGTGATTATGTTTCTTCTAGTGGGAAGACATTTCGGTATGGTTGACAAATGTACTTATTTTTTGTTTGTTTTTGCATTGAATGACAAGACCAACATCACAATCTGCCTTTTAAAACGAGTAACTCTGTCACAACTATATTTTTAACAGAGTGAATTCGGCTGCTTATTATAACATGGTGGTGACACGTTGATTTCGTTGACAAACAAGTTTGGATGATTTACTGGAGATGTAAACACAAACGTTATTCTGTCTATGCCATAGCCAAACAGTTAAAACATTCAAGGCATTACAAGAATTGTGTGGATTCGTTTTATACGCCCTCAAAATGCTAAGCGCATTATGCCATCACACTCTCCGTCCGTCTTCCAGTTCATATTTAATGATTCAAATGCTCATTTGAACATACATGATGATATGCAACACTCTTTTCGTGCAAACAAACTCCATGATGTGAAACGATCCCATTCATCCTCCTTAACATCATTCCGTGTTGTGTTGCTAAGATTCACGGAATTAAATCACTCATTCCGTGCTACGTTTTAGTATTTAAGTTGCTAGCGTTAACACAAAAGCTAGTGACAGTTATATAGGTTCATAGATACATGAATAACAAAAACGTTAGCTAACAACTGCCTTGTTTGTGAGAATGGAAGGGATAAAAGAGTCAAATGCATCTCTAAAAAACGTTTTACAACAAAATGTTACTTCCATTGATTCTAACACATGTTTTATGAGCGGTTATTAGCCAATGTATAACATGAATAGTTTTATATATAGTTCCTATCTCAAGTTAAATCAGTTAAATACTTTTCCTCTAAGGAATGTCCATACATTCTTTGGGACTGGTTTTAATCCGCAGGTATCATAAACATATCCATGTCGTATACACAATATATGCGTATAGGACAATTTGATAGTAATGGAAAAAATAACATCGAAACAAATAGGAGAGGGATTTTCCGTCCCGGTTCATGGGTATTGCTTTTTAATAACTGGTCAAAAATGTGCGAGAGTCTATGAGCCAAATAATGTTATTGACCGGGATTAACTACAAAGTTTTGGACAGAAAAAGCCACCTTTTCAAGCGGCACACAAAAGAAGCTGTAAAGATTCGCCGCAGTGGGTCAGTTCTGAAGCGGGATGAGGGGGCTCATAGACAATCGCACAGCAATGACAAGTTATTAACAAAGCGTGGCCGAATCGAATTATCAGAACGATTTGTCATTACGTGTAAGTATAAGAACTTAGTGTACATACGCTTATAGTGTAACCGAATCGACTTCTATTTTATGTTGCCAACTCGTACTTATTTTACACCTTTGTGTATATAAGAGTCACTGGTGTTTGTCTGATGAAGATGACAGGCAACGTATCGCACTTGTCATGATCATCCAAACGTCACACATACTGGTTGGAAGCTAAAACATTTCTACTCTTGCCATAATTATGTTGAAACACGTACTTTATGAGAAGCTACCAAACCGAAACAAAATATAGGACGCACGATCTATATGCTAAATGACAGCTGTTGTTCAGAATTAGACCCTAATGATCACGCATGTGCATGCACTCCTGCGCATGCTCCTGGGGCGACTGAACCTTGCCAGAAGACAGTGTTGTGTTTCTGTTCTAGTCTTTGCTCAGACCCGCATCAAGGTGGATATTTGCTTCTTCTACACCTGTCCCAAACTTTCCTTGGCTGCATCATGAGCAAGAAGCTGGGTCACTAGATATTAAGCATTATGATTACGCCACCAATGACAGGAAGCTTTCTCCATATCAAGCTAGGCTGAAATATTTAAATGTGACCTTTGGTTGTCGAAGTTCGTTAACCGGATGACCTTCCAGCCCAAAGAACAATGGAACAATGATACCATCTGTTTCGATGTCACCCTTCGTTTTTCCGATTGTCAGAACTGCCGTAGGATAGTTTCTGCTGACGAGAGTCAAGGCTTGCCGACACACAAAATCGTGTACTGATAGCAATGTTCGATGCTGTCTAGCGTGAAAGCAGCTCTCCGCTTTTGCGATTAGCAAGTGAATGGCCCTTGCCGTTCACATCTCTGGACAGCATCGTTCTGGACTTTAGCTGCAGGTATTCCGTTTAAGAAACTGCACAAACTTAGTTCCTCAGTGATTGGGTTTTGTGGCTGCTACGACGAGATGTAAGCCCAAGCAAAGTGTTGCAACAATTAAGACAACATCATTGCTATTCATGCATATTATGTACTTATGTGTCCTTTTCCCGGATAAGACGCTTGGGTACAAATATATCTTCCGATTTCAGATTTATTTCGAGGTGGTCGTCTTGCTTCAATTTTGCCTCATGACAAGACCAACCCAGATAGTATAGCATTGCAAGTAGTGTTGGAAGGTCTATGAATCACTTGGTTCTCCCTTGTCGACGGATTTAATTTTTCCTTTCTTGAACCCCGAAACAGAACGCAGGTAAACACAAAAGGATAGTTTTCGCGATTTTGTCTGTTATTGCTAATCATATAAATTCAAGCATACTTTCTCTCTTAGTCTGTCTCGATATAGTTTTGCAGGGCCATTCGTCTTGCCAATTTTAGTTTGTCAGTAAATATTGTATGAGAACATTCATCAATTTTGAAATATGCAACGTCGAAGTTTTGCTTCACACAAACAATAAACAACGTATTAAACGTGTCTCAACACCTTATACATAACACTACACATTTAAGAACACGACATACCTATATTGTAACAACCTCGAACCAAAATCAATAATCGCACGATTTATTGTTCATGCTTATTATTCCGACGTTTTGGTAGCCGGTTTTAAACGACGTGTTACATTGAACATGTTGTGTAGATGTGCCAATTCTAATACCAATTCGTGTACCGGAAGAGAAATCCCAATGACCAATTGGGACTAATTTCGCGCGTAAAAATGAAAAGACCGAGTTATTCAAAATTATTTATAATCTAGTTTAAAGTAACAGTGTTATAACAAAGTTGGTCGAAATTGTTGTCTAATATTTTTTTGTGCTGTAGACTGCGAAAGAATTTGTCCAAATAACTTTGGAATAATCATAACGAAGATTCTCTCGATCCTAACACTTACTCGTGAGTAACCCCGGCATCGAGTATGTCTTTTCTCCGTCATTGGATAGATGTGTATGTTGACTACAAAGAGTTTTCAATCTGAGAGATGACATTCTATGTTGAAGAACGTGCCGAGTACGGCATTATTATAAGTGTCAACCGTAGATCGTTCACTAGTTAGTACTCATATCAGTCAACACATGCTAAACTACAAATCTCATACTGCTTGTAAACTACTTTAATTACATTTGTTAATGATCCTTTCTAATATATCGAAGTTTGTGAAAAAAAGCAAAAGTTATGCCCCTTTTCGAAGAGGGCGATAAGCATTCTCCAACAACCTACAGACTAACCACTGTATGGTCTTTTGTGGCAAGAGTGTTCGTGGAGGTTATTTCCAGACATGTCCGTAATTGTTTGATGATAAAAAAAAATATGAAGACCAGTCTTGCTTTATATCAGTTTATTCTACTGTTTGTCTCCTAAACGAAATTTACTATCATGTTTGTTTTGCATTTGAAGAAAAGAAAATTAAATGTTTTATGTTTTGTGACACATCAAAAGCGTTTGATGGCATTTAAGGTTATAAACAACATGAAAATCCTACGGAATATAATGGAAATCTTTTGAGCTGTTTTAAAGCTTACTTAAGTCGCATAAGCCATTGAGGTTGATTGTAGACCCACTTTGATGTCCAGATGTTATCTGAACAGGAGTTCCACATAGTCCCATGTTTGGTCCATTACTTTCTTGATTTCTCCATGGTTTAAGGGCATTGGCAACAACTGGTCCATCCGTTGTCAATATAATGTGACCGAGCGGAATGCTATGCTGGATGCCTTCAGGATGGTATTTCAGTGAAATAACACTATAAAGTTGGCATCAGATCCGCGCTATCACAAGGAGGTTTGGTTTGGTTTGTTAGTATTGTTTAACGTCCTATCAGCTATGGTCATTTCAGGACGGCCTCCCCTGTGTGCAAGATGCATGCGTGTAGCGTATGCGTGTGTGTTTTGGGAGGCTGCGATGTGTTCGTGTTTGTCTCCTTGTGATAGCGCGGAACTGATACCGACTTTATAGTGCTACCTCACTGAAACATACTGCCGAAGACACCCAGCAGTACACCCCACCCGGTCACATTATACTGACAACGGGCGAACCAGTCGTCCCACTCCTTAATTGCTGAGTGGTAAGCAGGAGTAGAAACTACGATTTTTACAGACAGGCAAGTACACCAATATACACTGTTTCCGGCACACATACAGGCATTCACGCATACACAACACACATGGAGCGACCTTAGCTGTTAAGGTTCATGTAAAGTCTGTTTTCAACTAAGTTACAAAAGGTCATAATTTCTTGAATTTTACCTCGATAGCCCTTATTTTGGTATCACTACGATCCTTAGGATATGAGTAACAGTATGTATTAGCTTTCAGTTAAGTTCAGTTCGTTAATATTGTTTTAATTGCATTATTTACATGTTATGCAGGAAATAACATATCTACACAAAACAGAGTCGATTTGCAAGGAAATATCAGTCAAGATCTTCCTTAGAACTCACTTTAGGTAGTGGGATTGTTGAAAGTTAACGAAACTGCTCCAAACGATTGATAATCACATCTTCAAAGTCAAGTCATTAGTTAATTTCACCATAAAAAATTCAGCCATATTGGAACAACTACTGTTGTAAAACTATGGAGGCCCATGTAGTGTAATACCAAACATCGAATTTTTTAAAACAATTTTTTAACAGAAATTTAATGCATGATATGTATGTTATGGTTTGTTAAAAAAAAGAGTCATTAACAAATATTAGATCACAGTAGTTGATTTATATTGATAATTACATTAATTAGCATATTGCATACAAGACATTTGAATCATCGTATAAAACAGTAAACCCAGTGTCACCTTATTTTACGTCAACGGAATAGTAGGGTGGCGATAAAGTTACTAGGTATATTTGTTATTTTTGAATCAAAATAAATACCAATAATTTAATGAAATTGACATAAATTCCATACATAAGATTTCAAGTTGATGTATTGTGCTATCAATTTAGCGGTTGGATCATTTGTCAAATTTTAAATCAGTCAAGTTTTACTTTCGCCATGGGCTACTCTGGTACGATTTGAGTGCTCCAGTACATCACTCGCGAGTGTACAAACTTCAGAATGTTGCTTGACATGTTGTTGCAGATGTGAAAAAAAGCTTAGATGTCTTTTGCTTAGTGAGGAAGATACCACGACAACATCATCCCATCGGATATCACCATATCATAATTGTAGCTACCAATATCTACAAACACACAATGATGGGATAACTGTCAGGCAACCAAGTAATCCTGCAAATAGTCAATTCTGTAAACCTTGTCATCCCCTTCATAGAGATTTCTATACACTGCATCATCAAATCCATCATTCCTATAAAACTGAGTACTGTACAGTTGTAGATTGCCACTTTGTGTGTTTCAATGTCCTCTGGTGGAAAATGAGTCGTCAGACAAATTTCATTCAATGTTGTTCGTGCATTTCTGGAATAGACAATAACAAAGCTAGGTGTTAAAAAAAGGATCTTGATATTTCGTAAAAACTTTTTAATATCCAGAAGAAATTTAACAAATGTATCTTAATGATGTCTCATGATAAAAACACGAGCCCATCGCAATTGAAATGTCAATTACCAAGTGTTTTGAATATTCACTTGTCATGGCCCTACATTCAATATACCATTCATTTTCTTTTACCTGGCAACATTTGGACCAGATGACAATGTTGTGGTATCTGGGTAGATAAATCAATCTAGTGCAATGATGTATTACCTATAAGGAACTTCTGGATGAGGCTTCAATTCGTCGAGATGGGCTGTACGAGGTCAGTGCTACCATTGCTACACCTCCATGACCACACTACCACAGGCAAGATGACAGAAAGCAATATAAACATGCATTGAGGTTGACGAGCATCTATTCCCAGTACATTACATGCAGATGTAAACACTTTGGAATTTGTGGGTCTTTAGAGCTTCCTCCTCATATGTTCACGGCAATGTTGTTATTTGACATGTGCTTCTATGGCTTCAATTAATTGTGCTGCACACCTGTGTTATAAAGTAAATCAAAAGTTATCATTAGTGTTAATTAATTGGTATTCAATGTCTATTAAAAATTCACATTCAGATTCTTTGCATACTAATTTCTTTTGACATAGCATGCTAATGGCGCCTTTTTGAGTGCTGCTTCACTGAAATGCAATGCAGTAGACACTAATTTGACACATGTGCTTCTTCCATGCTTCCATAAATTGTTTACTTTTTATTGACACTTCAAACAGTAATATAAATATTCGGTTTTTCAATAAAAACATTCAATTTCACAAGAAAGAACATATGCATTGACCAAAAGGTGCCAAAAACTTGTAAATTTGTTTTGAACACAAAATATTTTTGCCTTCATTTCGCATTTCCTGTTTGTGTCACTTGTCAAAATACAACACACAAATATCGTCTTACCAGGACATCGACTCAAGCAATACATTATCTATGTTTAGTTTATGTAAATTACAAGTGTATTCTATCCCACAAACCATACTTACAACAAATAAACATTGTGGATCTTCTGCATCTCAGCGTTTTCTCCTCAGCTTCATGTTGTTTACGTCTGATGCACATTGCCGGAAGTGACGCCGCACAAACATTCCGATCTTGGATATTATGATTTCTTTTTCTGTAGTAATACTCCTACATTTGTGTAATTCAATTCGGAATCAAAAGTATTTTATTATTTAAGGTATTATACTCTTGTTTTGATAAGTATGACAGGAAATATTGTCATTTTTGTAAATTAACTGCGGAGCGATATTGCCATGTCGTCCGGTACGAAAATCATACGAAGAGGAAGAAAGTTGGTCTGAATATGGACAAAAGACCTGTTTACGACCTGTGCTAGTTATTTATGGTTCATTCGATGTGTACGCAGTCTATTTCGTGTCGTTTGGTGTTTAATGGACGCACCGATCGCTTGTGATTGTGACGGAAATAATCACTATTTTTTGACAGCTAAAAAAATAAAAATGGTGGCCTCCATTGGACAACACGATGACTTTCGATTTAACCAAAATCCATGTATGGATGTTTAAACATAATTTACTTCATAAGAGTACATCACTGTATATAATATCTTATTTTTGCCAAAGTTTCAATTCTCAAACATGAATAGGTTATCAGTTCTAATTTTCCCCTCAAATAGTGGCAAAATATTCACGAGTCACTCATTTATATTTCTAATAACACTATTTATTGAGTGCGTGGCAAACGTTCAATCATGGCTATAGGGAGTTTGAATTAATAACTTCTAATATTGAAAACGACAATTCAGCACAGCTTGTAATAAATGTAATATTTACACATGAAATAAAGGGACCTGAAGGTCAATTATTGGTGTTTACATGAACCTTAATAGGACTTTAATAAAACCAAACCAAAGTTATGTTTGCAAGTTATCTCCCTTATTGAAAATTAAACCAGACGTATGCCTACCAATGCTTCTTTGACTACAGAATCATTCCCTTATAAAGTTATTGTAATGACATATCCAGTTGCATTCTTCTGCTATAGCTTTAGGGGGTTTTCTTCACAGATTAAAGATTCTAAAGATGTCGATCAGTTGAGGCAACGTTTAAGTGTACAATAATACATGGCTAGATCGGGGCTCGAAACCGGGACCCTACGAACTCCAGACGAACTCTTTACTAATTCAGCCGCCCGGTCGACAACAATCGCCCCAGTTCAGATTTGTTACATTCCTCCCACCTTTTTTGAAGTCTTCGCCACACCTATTTACAACCAAGGTTCGGTTACTTGAAACAAGGGTTGGTCCCAGGCACCACTGTCACAGGAGATGAAAAAGTGCATGGCCAGACCGGGGCTCGAACCCGGGACCCTCCAAACTCCAGACGGCGGACGCTCCCACAACTGATCGAGCTAACCGGTCGCGACGATCGACCAAGTCCAGTTCCGCTACACGTCTGCATATAAAATACGTATTGTTTGCACAGAATTCGATCTGTCATTTCGGTTGTGATTTTAGTATGATTAATGAAGGCGATGCCCCTTTTTGGTTTTAAATGCTTAGGTTCCTCACGAACCAGATAAGGATCAATACATATCCCTACTGGGGCCCCTTAAGGCAAACGTAAACAAGACTTTAACCTGACCCAGACGTGTACTTAGGACTACATTGAGCGGACACTCGGCAATTTCTAACTGAAAGGAAGAAAATATACCTTTAATCGAGGTAAGACTGTTTAAAACGTTTAAATGCATAATGTTGGCCTACATTGCATTAACGAGGTAACGGTAGGGGTATTTTATGAATGATCGATTTAATCAACTGTGACCACGTGCGTGGACAGTGCATTGTAGGTATTAGCCTCGTCTGTTAATACCCATATAATATAACCACGGTTGCTAACTCTGTCCCCCTAGTAAAGTGACCCCGTTAACGTTCCAGAAAACATGCGATTTTGTCAAAACCGTTCGTGACACTGCTCCCGGCGTCATGCTACGAACGGTTTTGACAAAATCGCATGTTTTCCGGAACGGGGTCATTTTACTAGGGGGACAGTTAGCAAACGTGATTATATTTGTGTATTGACAGACGAGGCTAGATACTGTGGTCAGAGTGTGCCTAGCCTATATCGCGTATATATATATAAGATAAATTGTGTCTTCGTACTTGAATGTTATCAGTGAGTCCTAATTCCGTATTCAATTGTATGGGGTGACACATGTGTACAAGTTAACTGTAATACAATATGTAGGGTAATCGCGGTGTTGTCGGGTTTTAGTAATAGTTACCTCCCTTTAGTCGTTGTGTTCGCTTGCAAGGATAGCCTACCACCACCACAGGCAGTTAAAGGACATCACGGTAAAGTATTTTGGATTAAAAAAGATAAATATTGCATGAATATATCAAGTGAGTTTCCTAATGAAAAATAATGGCCGGATTTTGCTGATAAATAAACATAAAAATGTGTAATTACTAATAGAAGAGGAGATTCCCTATATCAGAGACTACATATAGATGGACTTCCAAATTTTATACACAAGCCAAATTCATAGAATAGGCAGGGGCTGGTGTGGCTGGTGGCGGCACAGTACCTCACTTCCGGTCCTGACTTGGTGATGCTGTACGATGAGTGTTAGGTTAAGGCATTATTAGGCATAGGAGCCGTCTTACAAAAACTAGACTTATACAGTTAATATATATAGGATAGACGGCCCCTTCTCCAAACTTTCCCCCTCTTCTACTTTTTTACTCCATACTTTATCCCTTCTACTCATTTTCCTTTCTATTCTTCGTCTGCTGGATAACCGAAATACGCGGTAGTGAAGCGGACGTAAAACCTATCAATCAATCAATCAATCAATCACGTCTATGTCTATATCCTGTCTGGTCAGACAGTTTTGTTCTGCAGTTGTTTGCGTCAAAATGATGACTTTGCTCATATCATGGTAATATAACCCAACCATGCTGACTATAATCCAACAATGCTGAATATAATCCAACAATGCTGAATATAACCCAACCATGCTGACTATAATCCAAAAATGCTGAATATAACCCCACAATGCTGACTATAACCCAACCATGCTGACTTTTTACTGAAATTCACTTTAAATTACCATGGTTAGGTTATACAACGGAATTAGATTAGATTTGTTATCTAAGTCCGTGGTCATACTCAGCACGGTCATTTAAAAGTCAGCATTTTTTGTTTAAAGGTCAGCACGGTTGGTTTAAAATTGGTTGGTTGGTTGAAGGGTTTTGCGCCTACATGAATCCGCCCTTACGGGTTTCATCTCTCTGACGGAATTCTGTGTTCTGTCGGCATCAAGGTTGGTTTATATTCAGAGTACTGGTCCCTGAAGATTTTACCAATGTTCCTCCAGCACTAGCCATGGCAGGGGGTTTCACACCTCCGGAGTGTTATCTCTGATCATATAGAGACAGTGCTCCTTACCTGAGAACTGCTGCTCTGCCCTCTGATCACATAGAGATTTAGAGAGATTTTTATTATCACTCAGGCACACTATTGTGCGCAACAAGAGGTCATCATAAAGTACAATATAACAATGATATGGTTGACCGTAAAGCACTCATCTTACTATGCTAGCGTACAATAATATAGTGGAAACGATTACACTCCTCATACAATGATAAACACAATATTACACTGTACTAGCATACCTTATTATAATAGACAGTATAACGCACTGATCATACAATGACACTCATCATACACTGTGATATACATTATTACACTCATTTCACAATACTATTACGATGGTATAATACATAGCATTACATTCACACTTACCGTGCGTTCACACTGTGGTGTAGCAGGCACGGTTGCATCCATCTTACAGTACAATCCTACAATAATATTATTACAGTATTACACATATATTACTCGCACTCCATGATTCATATATTATAGGTAGTATACCACACCATACAGTGCAATCATACCATGGCATAAAAGTGACTATAATACTCATCATACCATATAGTTACAATCCCATCATACAATACTGTAATAGACAGATAACAAACAAACCATGATAAGCAAGCTGTAACCACACTCATTATGCAATACAATTATGTTAGGTTTAGCAAATGATCAGTAATATCTATATGTATACAAAAGTTTACAGTTTGATGTGTGAAATTCACATATTATTTTTTAATTGTCTTTCTAGTAATTGTATGAACAGCGATA